AGGTATTTGAATGATCAATCAATACACGGGAGATTAAAACGGTGTTGAAATGTAAGTGTGAAAATACGATAAAAACAGAAGATAACAATAACAAAAACAAGAATACAAACAAGGGAGAGGAAAACTGTGCTGTAAATTCGTACTGGACACATATTGGAGAAGGATCAATCGTTTTTTATGATCCCAATTTGCTAATTCGGGACGCAATATGCCGGAAGAGATCATACAGATTGGTAAATTTTGTTTGGAGGTACGATCAGCTTGGAGAATGTGAATGAGAGTGGGCGAAGGTGGAGAGTGGAGATGAGGGTGGAAGACGCTAATATCGACCGATGAGAATGGGAGGATGTGAATGACTGAAAACTATATCAGCAAGCTACCATTTATTCTGTTTGTGTGAGTGCTGGTGGTAATAACCGAATTGACGGAAAGCAGAATCGAATGCGTCATTCTTCGATTAACAAGTACCGACGTGGAATATCAAAATTCACGCAATATCGTCTAAAACACATACAAAAGCATGTTTTAGTTTTACCAAAAAGTGCATAACAAACCAAAAAGAATAGGGCAAAAGGCATTATTTCGATTGAGCTGTGCACCGAGTTATTTTTGTTCTTCAAACGAGGAGTGTCATGCAGCCGAAGGTGGTTCTCGCCCACCGGTTTTAGTCACAGAACTATGTAACTGTCACGTATAGTTCATGCATCCAAACGAATCTAAACGGCAAGTCTTTTATTTGTTTGAATATCGCTGAATTCTGGTGGGCGTGAGCCTTGTATATCAAATACTACATCGACTACTACACCATCCGTGTAGTACTCTACTGACACTATCAAGGAATACTCACAGCAGGGGAAATACCTGAAAAATGTTTTGCTCCAAATGCGTCGATTAGATTGCAGGCGTGACCCTCACATCCTCAGGTATTGTGATACCTGGAACTGTCTTCCTCCAATGCCTCCGATTCACGCCTCAACGGAGCATTGAAATATCTAATTGTTCAGCACGTATGAATGAACGTGATAATTTGCTACTTAATGTACTACATCCGAGCCCAGTTTATGCAGATCCTACGGGATTCAATAAGCATCAGCTTTATAAATGACACCTGATGGAAATCCGTACGGAAATCCAAGTCTTGGGACGTCGCAAAGCTCGGTGCTCTGATGGCCTTCCCCTTGCTTTATTTAAAGATGGTGGAATAACGCTCTTCATAGAACTGCAAGCTCGGTTCTCTAAAGTTTGGAACACCGAGCAGGTCCCCTCCGCGTGGGTGAATCGATTGTCGTCCCCTTGCAGTGACTGCACCTATCATAGAGGCATAAGTCTGATCCCGACAGTACCAGAGCTGTTGATGTCCGTCATTCTTCGCCGATTGTATAAGACTAGTGAAGAGCAGACCCGAGAGGCAGTGACTGGGTTTCACTCTGGTCGGGGATGCATCGATTCAATCTTCACTCTCCGACAGCTGCTAGAGCACTTTCATGTCTATCAAAGACCAACGACCATTGTGTTCTTAGGCCATCTCGCGACCATCGACTCTGTCGATAGAACCGCACTATGAAACTGTTTGTTGAGGAATGGTGCACCAGAGAAGTACGTGTCAATCCTCAAAGAGTTGTATCGTCATACATCAGGTTGGGTTAATGCCTATGACCAGGTTTCACCACCCTTCGCCGTTTCTAGTGGAGTTCGACAAGGCTGTCTTATATCCTCATTCCTTTTCAAATTTTTCACAGAACGTGTTCTACGGAACGCTCTCTCCGGTTTAGAAAATGGTAGGTTCGAAGTAACAGAGTTCTCGACTTAGACAATGCCGATGACATGGCTTTTCGGGTGACAACGCACAGACAGTCCAATTGGCTTTAAACAAAATGATGAGCTGGGTATCCACATGCAGTATGTGCTTTGCACCATCCAAGAACAAAGTCCGTAGACCAGACTGGTAGGAGCCTGTGTCTGCACTCACCCCGATGGTTACTAGCTAGAAGTGATTGAGAGCTTTAAGTACTTCGAAAGCTTGATCGCAGCTGATGGTGTTGTTGGGGCTATACATATATATATATATATATTTATATATCATGCCGTCTTGACAACAAGCATGGTGCCAACTCCACAACAATAAGTACAGTAACAAAAACGCGATGGGGTGGGGTGGAGTGGGGTGGGATGGGGGGTTGAGATAGGGANAAAAAGACGTCACTGTCAGAGTGGAAGATTACGAATAAATGGAATAACAGTTTTTATGTTTCACCGTACACATTTTGAGATTATTTTTATTGTTTGTTGTTTTTACGGGGCACGGGATTTCCACAGGCAGACCGTAGAGCATTCGCGTCACTGACATCTATTCTAGGCCATATCTGTCCGCGTCTCTAACCAACGACAATTCTCATCCCTTGGGCCCCAAACTGGAAGGCGGGTTGCACCAATCGAAGCCAAAGCTGAAGCCAGCTTCTTCGTTGGGGAGATTACATCACTAATAGCGAAGGTTATAGCAGCCTTTGTCAACCTGTAACACATGTAGCACCGCCATGAGATTTTTTGTCCTTTGAGGGAAGGATTTATATTCTCGCGGTTCGTAGTGTTGTTTTTTGCGGTCGCGGGATCTGGCCCCTCCGCACTGATGATGCGCATTGATTTCCTGTATTCGACCAATGATGACTCCGAAGCGTTTATCATGTTTGACGGGAAAATCGAGTGAACAATGACGAGGTTTGTCGTCGTGTGTTTGGTGAGGATAGTCGTTCTCTAACAGAAGTAATTACTTGGTTCCGTTTTGAGTATGCCCGCTACATCGACTACCTTTCCGTGCTGGCCTAGGCTGGAAGAAGCGTTGCGTCGGTCAGACCATGACATGGCTTAGAGGTATGCAGAAGTCAGCTTCAGTTTTGGTTTCGGTTGATGCAGCCCGTGTTTCAGGTTGGGGGCCCAACGGATGAGTATTAATAGTGGATTGGAGGTGATGAGCGAAACGGCCCGAAATAGAAGTCCGCAACACGAATACAGTACGGTCGGTCTGTTCAAATCCCACGCTCCTATAATAAAAAAATAGACTAAAACACAAAAATGTATATCAAAAGTGTACGGTGAACCAAAATACGGTTATTCTCGTTATTCAACTTAACTGTCTGGCCTCCTTTTACCCTACCTTGTATTTCAAGCTTGCTCACAAACCACTGATATATACAGATACATATAGAACGAAAAAATGAGTTTGAATTTCATCAATTCTCATGGTTTGTGATTTAACCCTTCTGATGTGACTCCTAAAATATCCATTTCTACATCGGTTGCAAGAATGTTGAGCATTAAAAGTCTACAGAAAGAAACATGTCACGTCGCCTCCTGCATTTGACTGAAAAAATCGATTTCGTATATTTAAATTTCTCTGAAAACATTGATTGAAGAAGTGCATACACGTGGTCGAATTTCCTGAGCCGCGATCAATATCAATTGGAGAAGAATATGCGAGTGAAGTTATTTTGACGACCAGTCACCTCTCGATGTGCTAACTGTCATTTCAAATTATCGTAACTTGTGGAAGTGAAATCTCACAATGAATAAATCAAGAGAGATGTAGGTCACTCATCTATGTTCCCTTTATATGCTTTTCAATCTCTTAACACTGTGTGTATGTGGGTGCATACACAAATAAATGGTCTTTGGAAAACATTTGTTTCTACCTAAAAGGGCGTCACCATTGGATACGGGACAAAATCAGTCAAGGTAGATGCGTAATCTAATTGCCTTGGTCTCTCAGTCAAACTATTGATTTGTTACTCTCGTGAATTGTTGCATCAATTTCTATTGATAGGTGGTAAAACAGGCATAATCCAGTAGCAATACCCTCGAAATTTCAAGAAAAAAAAGAAACGAAGCTTACAGTGGTGGTGATAATTTCAAATGTAGCGTGACCGGTTACCAAAAGTTAAAGACTAAGTTTTGTTAGGGGAATAACTTACCAGCTCATGCTTCTCTTGTCTTCATCCGATATTTACACAGTTTAATCGTCTCGAGGCGAAAAAACTCACATACAATTCCAGGTAGGGGATAATAGAGAATGTACGCTTCAATGCATTTACGTTTGCTTTTAGTGGTGTCGGAAAATGAGGTGTACCAAGGTTTCATCGAGTCTTCGCTTGAAAGATTCTATAGTTGATGCACAAACGAAGTGAGATGAAAGCGTATTCCAAGTTCTGCATACTCGGACTGCAAAAGATTGGCGCCGGCATTCAAGTTGACAATTTGGCATAAGTAACTTGAAACGGTGTCCCCTAAGGTGTACATTGTTCGACAACATGAACAGCTGAGGACATGGATGGTTTGGGTTATGCAGTTTGCGATAGTGTACCATCAACGGCTATCACAGAGTTGAACATCACTGAGTGACCGGTCGGATTGAACAAACCTATTGCAGTTGCATCGAACCACATCACCTGCTTCCAGGTTCACTTGAACCAGAGTGTAATCAGAAACCGCTGAATGTCCACATCTGTTTCCTTCAGTGAATAAACGATCACTTGTTAACGGTTAACCGCATTCAGTGCCGTTGGTGCGATTCGCGACCGGGAGATAATCCGGGTTGTGTATCGCTCCATGAAAGTAATCCACAGCCTCCGCGGGGAATTAATAATTCCACATACATCAAAAACTTACTTTGTCCTTTCAACTGGCAATAGCATACGCGATCCGTTATGATCAGGTCCGAAAAACAGACACAAGATAGATTGGGACAAAATGTTTTCCGCTTTCGAATCATGAATCAAATGTCGATATCTACCGATCCGAATGTAGAGTGACTTCAGTGGAGAAAGTCCCTCCGAAAAAGGTGGCTAGCAAACAGGAAAACGAATAAAGTCCCCCAGGATGTATAATGGATGCCGATAATAGTGTGACATAAACTTAGACAGACAGAAATCAGAAACATCTGGGGAAGGGGGGAGAAAGGATACAGCAAGGAGCGTATTTTTCTTATTGATCATGTTTCTCAAGATTCTATGACTCAATGTTCCGAGGTGTGTGGCATTCGGTGGAAACAGGACAGGAGTGCGCACGGTTACCGAGACCTATCCATATTTCGGTCACATCCTTATTCTGCCTCGCACCTCACCAACACTTCAGCTATCATCATCATTGTTCAGCGTACAACAGTGAAGTGAACTTCACTGATCGCTGCCAAACTCATATTGCATACAAGGTAAGTGAGAATGTTTAAAGAGGATGGGGATTGGACGTAATTTTAGCGACAAGAAAAGAAAGTAAACCCCTATGGTCAACACACAGAGCAAACAGTCCAACTGTTCATACATACTAGTTTTCAAGCCTTCTGGTTTGATAAGAAGTGACAGAATGATCGCCATTGCTGTCGGTTCGCAGCCCTGATCTTCAATGTCTCCAACCATGCGGTTACGGAGTATTTTGGACTCCAACTCGGAAGACGAGAAGCACCTACCACTACCTAATCGCTGTTTGCATTTCTTCATGTCTTGTAACCCAGTCATCTGCTGGCCTCCACGCGGCGTTTTACAGCCTGCAACAGCGACTTGCGAATAAGGCACGCTGTGGTAGGCAACCGTCAGATATGCACAAAACTGATCTGGATTCGAAGAGATAGTGAGTTCTTGTTTGATGTATTCCCAAACACCCGATGACTTACTTCTAAGTTACTGATCAGCTCACTCCATCCCATTTGGGTCAGGTTATGTAAGTATTGATTGTCAAACACCCCTAAGCCTTGGAAATGCGAGTGGTTATCTCCTTTGATGCGCTACCGTTACTGGTCACGCAGCTATCTAAGTACGAGAAGCTGTTAACTGCAGCTAATTCCTGGCCGTCTAGTTTCAGAACGGAACTCGGCGACAACCAGTTCTGTTCTGGAACTGTTCTGAACCTCAGCCAGTCTCTGAACACAACAAAACCCAGTCTGACTCACGCAGTATTTTGGCAATCAGCAATGCAATTCTCCTAATTTTTACCGTCACACATAAGGTAAACTTAACCGGTATTTTTCATTTTCTCCACACCTGTCCCATTTTCTCAATCATTCAGACCCTAAGCCAAGAAGCAGAACTGAACGCGAAAAAGGTTCTCGTAGCCAAATTGGAACAGGAAATTCACGAGTTGAAGGCAAAACTGACCAAGACTGGTGTGGAATACAATGAACTGACCGAGAAGTACAACACTTTGAAAACGCAATGCGAGACAAAAAGTGTGGAAAAAGAAAAGGTGGATAAACATGTCTCCGAGATCAGCCAAGTTCTCAAAACGGAACAGGAGAAGACCAAATCTCTGGAAGATCGAATCAAGTGTGTATCCAAATAAAATTCACATTTATTCACTATTCACTACTCACTAAATTCGGTAGTAGATTCAGGAAAAACATGAGTTGCAATTTGAAGTTTATATGTAGATTGTGAAAATTTCACTAGCCTCGGTGGGATTCCAACCCACTCATGGACGTCGCCTACGCTTTTGTACAGCGCACGCTCTACCAGCTGAGATACGAGGCCGGACCGATAGCATTCATGGGTTGGAATCCCGCTGAGGCCAAACAAACTTCGAATCACCTTAGCTTGGCTTTGGTGACGCCTCCATCCATTTACAAGTGTTTATTTTGTAATTAACTCCCAAACCCCATATAAACAGTGTCTGCAGTAGGCACCAATTGAAATTCAGCGAAATCTTCCAGGATTTAAGTCGTGTAATGTTGCTGTACTGACTTCTCTTTTCAAACTTCAAATCTGCTAAACAACAATTAGAAGTTGACACCGACAAACGTTCATCCTCGTAGTGATGAATAAACGCGGTCAAATATCCCCTTGGTTAAAATGTAACAATTTCTTCTTGTCTCTAGATTCTAAGGAAATTTAATGAATCAAAAGATTTCTCCCGAATAACACTAATAAGAATTTTGTTCTGAATTTTATTTTATTCCCTACACTGATGTATGTTGAACCTACCGGAAATGAATGGCGGTCAACATTGTTTTCTTTCTGAGGACAAATTAGGCGATGGTGAAACGGAACAAACACCGCGACCAGATTCAAAACCGTTTGATCACTGCGGCGGCACTGTAGAGTATCATTCAAAGAACAATGTGTTGGTTTGATTTTTAATTTTGTATTGTGACAAATCGCATTTGGGTTCAGATTCTCCAGTTGGCCTACACTATTCCGCATTCAATTTTATCAGGAATAGAAACCACGCACGATGTAGTGCTTCCGGTTGTCCGTACCTATCTTAATGTCTCGAGGTTACTCAGGTCTCAGGTCACAGTGGTCGAGGGGTTCTCTTTGAGTTTGACACCCCAAGCACGATATCCGATTTGGTCAAATAAATCCGCTCCAGTTTCCGTTCGGATATTGGGTTTAGCCTCTGGAAATAGCACTGAGACATTTGGTGCATCTTTGCGGTAGTTCAACACCACTGAACCCCGGTGAATTTACCAGGAGAATTGCATTAAACACGCATAAAACACTGAATGCGTAAAGTGACAACCTTTCATGATTACATCATTGGTTTCAGAAATCAAGCGGTGGAAAGGGAACGTGCAGAACATGAGATGCGCAAGGCGGAGGAACGTTTGGAATATTTTGTCACTCAGATGATTCGAATATTTGATAAATACGTCAGTGAAAGTGAACTATCCGCCGGTGGATGGAAGGATGAAACCAAAATTTCCCAGCTGATTGCTCATGTAAGTGGAGCCAAGTTAAATAAGGCGTGTGTATAACTAATCACCGGATTTGAAGACAGCCTTTGATCAATACAAACTGTTAAGAATCAATAAAATGGTATAGTTAAAACTCCTTTTTCCGGATAAAATGTCCCCGTATATTTGTAGACATCGGCCAGCTAAAGATGAGACCCCATTGGCCTTGAATGCTACTGCGTTCTCGTCCGTTTGTTTTCCGCCATTTTGCATGCTTCGGGCACTTCGTTTTGTATTGCGATATATCATACAACTTTTTTGGGTATTTATTATCGATTTCGAAATTTTAATAAATATATTTTTTCCATTATGTCGAATTAGAAAAATACGTACTTTGGTAGGTTAGTCAAATAGTCTCTAAACAACCGTATCGCAGGAACACCGGTGTACAAACCCCATAATGATGCATTGTTTTCTGTCAAACAAATGATTAAATAAAAATCCATTATAAGAAAAACAGTGGCAAACAAGCTCATTTGCGGTGATTGTTCTACGAGCTAATACATCACAGTTAAACTGTTTATTAGGGGAGAATAAATCCTGACTAAATAGAAAACACATAATCACCGTTCCTGGTCGGGTGGTGCACGTTCAGATTAACGTCTGCTCGTTAATGAGTACACAGAGAAAGGGACTGCAGAAGCGGGTAATTTATCTTTGGGTTGAAAGCACAAAAGTGGCCTGGAGATGAATACAATACGAAGTTTTGCTGCGAGGAATGCTTTTTCTATAACTATATACATTTTACACGTCACCATCTCGGCATTTGTGTCGTCCTTGAAAAGTAGTAATATGTAAACCGGTTTCTTCTGAACATTAGTGATTTCATTCGGAAACCGGTGACGCCTCAAAAGAGTTGTTCACAATTTACTCTGGGTATTCGTTTTGCAGGAAAACGTTTCGAATCAACCTCAGTTCTGTCTCAGTGGTATCGTTTGTACACATTCTCCGCGCCCTGATTGAATGGTAATTGAAAACCATAAACAGTTCTGTATTTGTCTATACTTAATGGAATCAAAACAGGTGTTTAACGGGGCCGAATCGTTTCGACCTCCGTACTTAGTTCGCATCCGTCGATCTAAGCCGATAGGGAATCGCATTCTGGTCACAGCGGAAGCGATCGGAATCCGGCTGCCTAGTGTCCCGCCGTTATGCTCCAGAACAGGGTTGGTAAGAACACACTCGGTCTTCCATGGCCAATACACCACATGCGATCCGACCAGCACCCGCCCCACCCACCCCTACTGACTCGGAAACAATGGACGAACGTGAGATGACCAAAGCGTGAACAATATCCGGTCATGAAACTGCTATGCTGATTGTTTCTTTTCCACTTTATAATTTTTCTCCTCGACTAAACAGTCTGATAGGCACTGTGATGTACTAGTCGGTAGAAAAATTTCAANCAAAAAAAAACGAGCCTATTAACTACTGCGGTTTTCTTACAATTTGTAATGAAATATTTATTAGCTTGGGAAGCGTCTCAAGGTACCTCAAAAAAGGATTATCCGTGGCTTGTCTGTATTATTATGTCCGTCAGTACAACCGTTTTTCCCCTATGCGTCCCCCTTTCCAATAGGCTAGTCAACTTGCTGAGGAGAATGCAAAACACCGTGGCGAAATCCAAAGTTTGACCGAGCGTGTCCGTCAGCGCGACCTCCAGTTGGCCGAACGAGATCGTACAGTGGATCGATTGGGTAGTCAAATCACCAGGACCACCGAATGTGATCGGGAAACGCGAAACTTGGCCCAGGTGAATTTGAGTGACCTCACCCCCCCCCAAAAAAAACACACCTTATTATCTCTCCATGAAGGCTAAACTAAATTTGACTCCTGACAAAACCACCCGTTTGTTTACAGAAGAAATTCGAGCACGCCTGGTTCAATTCAATGTGCATATCTGTGAATTACGTATGTTTGTGCGATGGGCAGTGAAAAAGGCATGGACAGGTGAAATGGGTAAAATAACTGAGACGGGAACCACTGTATATAGTTACGGAATATCGGTAAACTAAGCAAGCGAACAAACCGAGTCCATATTTTTTTTGAGCGACACTGTTTACAGCCGTCAGCAACATTCCCCTATATCCTCCACCCGCAAGGTGACCGATCCAGTTGACTCTAGCTGAGAAGCCAAACAAGACCGATATGAATGAATTCCGTGCCCACGGTTTTCCTATTCTCCTGCCATGGCTTGGTATGATCACTCTCCACTTTCTTTCAACCATTAACTGACCCGGCAGACATCACACTGGAGGAAGTCTATTTAGTTCCAGGCACAATACATCTAAAATATCATGATCGATGGACACCATGCAAGTAATGCAATGAGGCTGTTTACTAGAGGGCTTGGACAGTTTTCTACCCAAACTAGTACTAGTACTTCCTGCCCTCAAGTAGCACTGATCTGAATAACCGTTGCTAGTAGAGAGTTGGGAATAAGGGACATAGGAATGGATTCTTTGTGTGATACGTCGGCTGGGTCTATTGTGGCAGGTATAGTGAAAGTTTTCATTGAATGCCATCCAACGATTCAATTGTATAAAGAAGCAAAAAGCAGAGTTTTGCCAATCGCGAAAAGAGCAGCATGACATAGAGGTATTGTATGATTGACGAACTGAGTTTCCTACGGGTCATCGGTGATGTCTTTCTGAATGTGGAAGTTTCACGTCGAACGCATGGGTCAATCAGAAGATCTGCGTACCGGAAGGATACAAGGTCCGGACAATATCTCCATTTTACTGGCTATGCTCCAATTGAATATAAGATTGGTCTAATTCGAACGCTCTTCTACAGGGTGTGACTGATTTGCACAACGGATACATTGCATAACGAATATGAAAAGATTAGAAAAGTTTTACAATCTAACGGATATTTCAAAGGGTTCATCTCAAGGCACTCCCAACTCGACTGCACACGCAAAAAGACACCAGGTGTAGATAAGATGAGATTGGTCCTTCAACTGCCCTTTAAGGGTGGTGATATCAGTAGGATAATTACCAATCGCTTGAAATTGGCCGTTAAGCGCATCTACTGATCCCATCGTTGTTTTTAAAACCACCCGGTTGCCAATACCCTCGGTGAAGGAACCACTGTCTCCCCACGTCAAATCTAATTGTATCTATCAATTCGAGTGTTGATACTCGGCCATCTACATCGACAGAACGGAGAGACAATTGCGGTACGAGTAACCGAGCACATCCCGATTTGACTTCAGAAAACAATGAGTGGAAACTTCGGAAGTATGAGGTCACCAGTGACCTGTAGGAAACTCAGGTCGTCGATCACACAATACCTGATCCAATTAAAACACTGTGTCATGCTGCGCGACACATTCAGAATCCTCTGCAACACAAAGAACACGAAGGCTCTGAAATACGTTGATGCACTAGCCATTCAAATTTACCATCCCCAACTGCGTCCACCGCGTGAATGGCTTATCACTCTGGTTCTAACTTGCTAAAACATGTGCGTGATGAGTGATCTCGACCGCAATCTTTCTGCGCCTACGGTTCTGCTATTTACTGATGATCACATAAACTGCAGTATGCAAGTGTACAGATGCAGCCAAAAATGATCCAGAATACATCGGGCAAACCTGTGTTGTTTTGGTTTCTCTGTTCAAATTCGTTACGGGAAAACTATGCTTCCGACTCCATTGTACCTTTAGTTCTTGGCATTGCATCGGTCAAAGCTTCAAGCTGTTTAACGAGGCACGTCAAATTTTCGTGCACCAGCTTCGATTGCGTTCTGGTTGTTTTTTGACTGCTTCTGATATCTGGTGCGAACATCGGGTGAACAGTGACGAGTTTCGTCGCCGTGTGTTGGGTGCGGATAGTCGTCCTCTAAAAGAAGTAATCACTGTAATCCATCTATAATGGCTTGGTTACATTTTGTTTATACCTGCTCATCAACTACATTTCCGTGCTCTCTTTGCACGTGCTAGGACAGGCTGGAAGAAACGTTGCTGCAATGAGAGATGACGTACAGTTATGAAGAAGCTGGGTTCAGTTTTGGCTTCGATTGGTACCGACGTTATGCCAGTTTGGGGTCCAGGGGATGACCAGTATCATTGATTAGAGATGCTGAGAGATACTGGCTTAAAGAAGCATTCAGTGGTGTGGTGTTTGTGAAAATCCCATGCCCCCAAAACAAAGCACCACAGAAATAGCAAAAAATGTGCAGTGCAACAAACCGATAATTGTTTTTCTCTTTATTCGTCGTATCCGATATTTAATCCCCGTTGCACTCTGTTCGAATTATTCCACCCTTAACTCCGATCTTCTGGTATTGTTGTTGGTGGGTTAGCACCAAACTTTCTCGGTGGCTGGTGATATATCTATTCAGGCAGAAAAATAAAATTTAACAACATTGTGAAAATGAGCAAATGAACCAAAGCCGTCAGCTACTGCCTCTGGTCATCTTTCCTGGGAAACCTTCTGTAGGAGTCTGGAAACAAAATATAGATGATCAAGCCCACTGAACGAAGCTTTTGTACTATACTATACTATACTACACTATACAACACTACACTATATTATAGAATACTACTATATTCCCGGTGGCAGTTTGGATACCGGTTAACTTCCCCCAATGAATGCTTTATCTCTGGAAGCAATAAATACAGGGAAATCTTAATCATTGGGGTTAGATGCTATTTACTACTCTATCAGACTGTGTTTATGGGTTAATCGTTAGAGAATTTCATCGATTACCACTTACACTTTTTGCCAAATCTCAGTCTTATTAGCTCGATTGTCTAACTAGACTCATGCAGTTCTCTGTGTACAGATGGCAGTGCTCGAACGCCAAAATATAGCTTTCGGGAGACACATATAGCGCATTGGGCTGGTACATACTAGTGAAAGGACGCACAAAAACTAATGACCCCTCTAAAATTACCAAGAGTGTTCCATAGCAGTTACATAATAAGGGTTTGGAAGAGGGACCAGGATAAGAAACAGCTTTGGTTGTCATGATGCGTTTTGTGGTAGATGACCGTCTAACTATAGAGTATCGGTTGTGTCATCAATTGCACAAACTACTATAGAATTTGTTGTGTCATTCTTTGTGATTTTCGAGGAGCTGGTTCTCTCTAGTGTGACATAGACCGCTTTTCGGGGGGAATAGTTTGAGATGGGCTCCCTTTTTGACATTGTCTGTCACGAAAAACAGTTACCGTTCCTGGGTAACCCTTTCGTCGAAACCTTTAGAAGTTTGTATCTGTATCTAAATCGGACATCCCTATTCTGAGTGGCAAATCAACACGACCGGGATTGCCTAAAAGGATATCGCATAGTATGATCCACAGATCACAGTTGAACAGTGCCACGTGCGATGAGAGCCCGGTAGTTGAATGTGCAATGAATTTCTATTTGAATATGCAAAAAAGGGACACTAAAGATTCAACAACAAATTATTTCTAATGAGCAATTGTGATACCATCAGGTTTGGTCAATTTTTGAAGTGAAAAAGAAAAAGCATAATCTACACATCGAAAAGAAACGGAGAAAATCAATAAAAACTGATCTACCAGTTCCGTGACTAAGGTTAAGGCACGAACAAACCAGAATCCAGAGTTGAAACAGAGGATTTGTGTGCGCGGTTCAACAAAAGTACCTGTTGTTTTTGCTCATCCTATCACACACAGCTTTTCCCAAAAGCCGCCTTTCTACAACACTGAGAATTGTGTTCATCAAGAGCTTTCTTCTGCCCTTGTTCAACCTTTGCATCTGCCAACCTGACCTGGATTGGTTTCAACTGTACCATAGTTTTACTTACGGTCCATAGGTGATGTAATTACTTATTCTCTGACGGTCGAGGGTAACAGTTTATTGTAGATTACAGCTGGGACATCACTAATTAGGCCTACATAACAAAGAAATCTCATCTGAGACATACCGTCGCAGTTCCTAGCAGCACATCAGGTAGGAAATGAAGCTATTGGTAGTTACTCCATGAGACCCAGCAATTTTTCCTCGGTGATTTCTTATTTTTTGATGGACGAAAGAAATCACCAAAAATATTTTGCATACTACTCACAAATGTTAGCAGTGTCTCACAACACAACTGAACAGGTTTGGTTGGTTTCGATCGGTTATTTTCTGACAATGTTTTGCATTTTTCCCCTTTCAACAACCTGTTCACAATTTGCTATGGCACTTCATCCGGTCACATTGTGTCTGATCTGCATCCTGACCTCCTCGGCTCGGTTGTCATCACAACCAATCAATGTGAATGGGAACCAGCAACTCGAATACAGCCGAGGTAACGAATGTGTCCTGGAACGTCGTGTTCACGAACTGTCGGACAATCTGATGAATGCGCAATTGCAAATTCGTGATTTGGAACGTCAACTGGCTCAGGCTCGACACGAGAGCGAGCACGTGTGTGATATGCGTCGTGAGATGAGCGTGAGGGAGGGCAACCTATTCAGGTATGCTAATCCATCTTTTATAAGCCTGTAGTGAAACGAGGGTTCAAGATCACGTGATCCATAGATAAAATGTCAACTTTGACCAATACAGGTATTGACCAAACTCGTGCAACATCCTGATTTTCGCCACATTTGTTCCTCTCAATACTTCGTTTTTCCAACCTCATTCACGGGATTGAATATGCTATTGCCCAACATTAGAAGCAACATATCTGACATAATACCCGCTTTTACAATCTCTTCTATCAGTCACGTGCTATCAAAATGTTCTATTTCGCGATTTTGGACGATGGTTGCTGGTGCATCAGTTGTGAGATAACAAAATCACCGTATAAAAAGTAATTGTGATTTATTTATGAAAATGACTTATAAACTTTATACAGGTATTGCAATTCGATCTCGTCCATAGTTCATTTGCCCTTCTTCATTTTTGAACACTAGAGGCAGTCGCTTTAGCGTGGAATCCACCAAGTTGACTGTCAAACAGCAATTGAAAGTTTCCTCTAATACACCGAACACCCTTACCACTAGTGATCAATGGCAAGGTAGCTAACTTATCCCTGTTTCTGATAGAGGGAAAAGTTTTCGATTAAATTAAAATCCCAGCTGCTGCGCGGTAATTAAACGAATTTGACATTGAACTTGACCCCTCTAGAAACTGCATAAATGTGAAAAATAAAATTTATTCAGGTCTAACCGTTTCCTACCACCAACCTTAAGCGAGAAGATATACCAACCTTCATATGTGAAAAGTATGACTTCCGCAAATGCATTTTGGGAGTGACAATTATGGAAAACCTTTCTTATCAGTGCAAGAACTTTTGCTATGCCCATTCTGTCGTATGCCGGAGACCAAAAACAATGTGCTCAATAGTCATTACCTTTCCAACTCGTTAGGCGCTGTAGATATTTTATCCTTTTGATGGTTAAAAAGAAATTCACTTGAAAACTGGTTCAGTGGACCAGCTTTCACAATATGCCGAATTACTCGTTGGACACCAATGAGATAAATTTTATTGCGACACTCAAGGTCGAGCAAATACAAATGGTGACAGTAAAAAACTAAGAACGTAGATGTTGGAGATGAAGTCAGGAATAAATACAATTTACTCATTGCAATATATTTATAGGTGTGATATTGCAAGCTAAAACGAATTTCCAAAATGAGGATGATGTTGCGCGAGTTTGGTCAACACCTGTTTATTATGCATTACAAACGATTGTGCAGTTTCAATTAAAAATTTGTATTGTGAACACAAATTGGCAGACAAGCTTGTTTTCAGTGTGTCTTAGTCATACCATTACAACACAATAAATATGATTATGGTAACGGAGAAGGATTTACAAGGAAAAAGGGAAGTAATTAAAATGTTCCACAGTTTGTGTCATATTTGGTCCCAATTTATCATTTAGTCCTTCGCGTAAATTCTTCTAGGTCTATTGGCCAAACATGCTGGTTGAAAAACTCGAAAATGTGCGGAATATCTCTATCCAAAATGGATACCCGGGGCTCTTGGTGGAATCTGTGATGCAACGATAAGAGGCGCTTCCCAAGAGGGCTATTGCTGAGAAGAAGTCTGTGTACATTTCTTTACTATTTCGAGGTGACGCCTTGGCAACGATTATACATAGAAGTCTATCAAATGCTATCAATAAAAAGTTCTACGCATCCTATCTAGCCCGTTGGTGTATCTACGGTTGAAGGATTAAGTGCCCGATTCTTCTGCCTCTTTCTGTAAACACTCTTTCACTTGCTCCTGTGGAGCAAAGTATGATGGCCGCACGACCAGGTGTCTGTCCGAGGGCATCCGTAAGCATCACCCTGCATGGTTGCGAAGTGGAGTAATTAAGTCAATCATAAGTGCCGTTGTGTCGCACCTTGTTGACGCTAATCACATTGCAAACGTGACCGAAGCATTCCGACCCCTGTATAGAGTTAAAACGGGACGGTATAGACACGCGAGGTTTCGAATCCTAGCCACAGCGGAGGCAGTTTCCATCTGTCTTCACAAACCCCCGCTCTGTATGTGCGGAAACAATCTGTGCAAGCGCTCAAGCTCACATGACGGGATTGCCGACAAGTAACCTGTCATGAAACATCGGAGCAAATGATAATTGGGGACCAATTATGTCACAAACTGTTGAATACTTTAATTGGTTTCCCTTTACCCTTGTAAATGCTTCTCTGTTTCTGGTCATATTATTGTGTTGCAATGGCGTGATTAAGACACACTGAAAACGAGATTGTTTGCCAGTTTGTGTTCTCATTATGAGCTCTGTGGGACTGTTTAAACAATTTACATTGTACTGTGAAACATTTTCACACACCAAAGCTTAAAACATTCCAGTTTAAAATTATATACATACCATATCCATTATACAAACATGTCAACAAGCTCCCAACGAAAGGAAATTCGATCGGTATTAAGCTTTATTTTTAGCAACCGTTTATTCCTCAGTTTATTCTTCCACAGACGGTGGCAAACTAATGTACAGAACTGGTTTCATCATAAAAATTCGGGTACACAATTCGTCCCGTTCTTTGGAATTGATCGGGTTGATCAAGCGGTGCACTGGATTTGGACGTTTGCTTTTGCTATGACCATCCACCTTTAGTGGAAGAATGTCCGCCACTGTTGTATCATCCAATACCACACCGATTTATATATGCTACAATAGTGATTCAAGTCAAACGACAATAGTCTGTCGTTCCAAACAATCAACCACAAGTTTTAATGATGATGGGCGTTTTTCCTAAAAACAGTTCACTATTCAATGAAGACATCACACACACCTGAAGTAATGGAATCAATAAATAGGACAAAAGTTATCAACTTTTGAAAGCGTCATCATCATATCATCATCATATCAGAGACCAAACACTATTTTTCCAAGTTAAGCAGGGTCGTATTCATCACCCGATTTCAAGGTCAGTTCCAGTGGAACATAAATCATCTGAGAACATTTTGTTCCGCGAGGAAACTGTCTGCTTTACTGTGTGCTTGACGGATCGGATCCACTTTGAAGCATGCGCATTACGATAACGTTAAATAAATTGTTCAGCAGAACGGTGGATTTTATTTCAATTTGGATCAATCGAATCCCCCAAAATCATGAATTTATGTCACTTAAGCTGACTAAACTTGATCCAGTACAACTTGTACGCGAACTTTCGGTCTTCATGCCAGACAAACTGGGATTAATGTGCTAGAAATAGCTGGGATTTGTGATTTTTCAATTAGGCATGTCGCACAAACGGGGTTACTATTCGCGTCTCTCTCTCTCCCTGTCTATCCTACAATTCTGCTCAAACAACAGAGAATCGCTTGCAGCCATTTTATCTTCGTCGCGTTTTCCGTGCAGTCCAACGGAGGTGGCTATCAAAGAACATACGCGACGCGTGATCACCGAATGTGCCGAGCAACGTGAGGTGTGTCCGTCTGTTGGTGTGATCTCGTCTATAGATATTTTATGTTACGTGACTGTGGCTATGGAACGCAGCAAACATTTGTGAACGATGGTTACTGCTGATCGAGTGAGCACACTGAACACTATCTGCTTCACCCTTTTTCCGTACATTAAACGTATTGGAGAGATGCTTGTAATAGTGGTGTGTGTGTGGGGGGGGGAGAGTACATGAACTTTTGGGGAGAGAAATGCGGAAAGACCAACAGGCCGATTGAGCTCTCTCTGTGATAACCACAAGGAATGACAACGAACTGATGTGATTTACATCATTGCATGATGAGAAAATTGTAATTTGAATAGATCATGCCCACTATTCTGATTGGATTTCATTACTTATGTAACTGATTACCATTTCTCTTAGGTCAAATATTATTGCGTTTCCCTGTTGATTATAGATGTTTTTTTTAAAGAAGCATTGATAAATCAAACTGTTCGGTTTATCATAAATTGATATTTGTATTGATATTTGATTTGTATGCCATTATTTCTTATACAGCAGTGAGTCCGGCCGTTCCATTATAGCATCGATTTGATACTCCGCTTCCAGAATTCCCCAGACGGTCCAGAAATGTCAAAATACTCCCACAGAGCACATTTCAAACAAAACAACAGAGCGCCAAATAAGCTTTTTTTCAGAGATGCATATTCATGCCAATACATCTCAATATATCTATCAATATATAGGGAAAATAAAATGAAATCACATCACGAGACCGGAAGTCTGGTTCACCACGATTACATAGCTGTCTATCCCGTCATCCGGTTATCGAGATTACTCGTGATACAGTGAGTGTGTGTGTAGTGGGCGCTTGCTCAAATTATTTTTGGGCTCACAGAAGGTGCGNAGGTGCGTGTGTGTGTGGGGGGGGGGGGAACCCATTCTGAGGCGCAACGGTTCTGGCGTTTATCCGAAACAGACCGTGAACACCACCCCGCATGGCTAAATACGAGAACGATTAGGACTCTCATTACACTATTTTAAGATTGATTTGAGAAATCATCACCTCGAATTGAGGAGGAAACGCTGTGATTGAATTCGCTTCCCTTCCACCACACTTTTGGTGACTGACTTATCGGCAGTCCGAGTCCGCATGAATGAATAACTGCACCCTAGCTGTAGCGCCCACGAAACAGTGTGTCGGCCTTTTCGCTTATCTATCTAGATAGCCGGGTCCAACTTAGCTGCCTCGAGCAAATTGCACGGTTTCACCGACCCACCGAACTAACGTCCGTCAACGAGTTAGACAACATGCACGACTGAGGTCTGCCTCATTTCCACAACACAGAAAGAGCAAGGAAAGATAGGTGTTAGAAAAAAAATGTGTGAATAATTAACCAATGAGGTGCGCTGAACGGCAGCGGATCCAACAGCAGCGTCACTTGCTCAATTGAAAGTGACAGTTTCTCCAGTCAATCTTGAAATGGTTTAGCTGAAACAAATCACACTGTGAATGTGACTCAGGTATCTCAACCCTACCTATCTGCCTCGGCTTCGTGTGGTCAAGTGCTTGCCACATCGGAAGCGGTAGGAATTAGTTTGCACAACCCTCTGTGTGCCCCCAAAACAATTTGAGCAAGCGATTAACCTTCCCTGCCTCCCCCTCACCCCCTCCCTCGCCAACCACACACACCGCATATCCCGAGTGGTT